CCCCCCGCGCGCTCTGGCAACGTCTGTCTGAAACTTGGCTATTCTTTAAGCAGTGCTTTTCCGTTAGCTCAAATTAGGGGCCTGGAAACACTAGCATGTGCTGGGAAAGGTGGTCTTTCAGCAGCGGTTGTAAAAGAGCGCATGCCTACCGGCAGTGCTTACTGTTACTTTGCACAAACAGGGTATTTGTTACAAATTAACAGAAGATTGAGAGGATGTTTTTAAAAGTTAAGCATACCTCAGTTTTTCTTTGTGGATATGTGAGTAAGTGTCAACCGTTTGTTCAGGCTATGGAAGTTGAGCAATAAAATCCAAGGGGAAAAAACAGCATTCTTTGTTCACCTGTAAGCGATCTGTAGAGCCTGATCTATGCTGTTTTCATAGGCTTCTTAAGCAGTAGGCTGTTGGGTTTTGATCCCTCCCAGAACACTTGAGTTTTGCTCTTCAAGTGTATATAAAACCTGTAAATTCTAAAAGCGGGCATCTCTCTGTTTTTTTCCTTTAGCACAATGTACAGCTTTCTTTCCCCCCCCCCCAAACTAGATGTACTAGCTTTTTTTATTCTACAGCAGGCTTTATCTGCACACCTAAGAATAAAAGGTAATGGAGACTGAACAACCGGAGGAGACCTTTACTAACACAGAGACAAATGGTAAATTTTTTTAAAGGGCTATTTTATTTTATTGGGGGGGGAAGAACCTTTTTAAGTCTCAGTGTTTCTAACTATTTTGGAATGCTTTACTGTATCAAATGTTTGTATTGGCAGTATTTTTGCATTTAATCTTATTTTTTGTGTCTTTCTTTACATGGATTTTGTATCGTGAATATGTATTTTTTCTTTGGGAGTATTTTAGACATGGCATCAGTAACTAAAAGTTATAACTAAGGGTTTGAAAACATTTGATAGCTAAATACTCAGTACTTGTCTGGATGGTGTGATCATGTAAAAATACTGTCAGGCATATCTATTACTGTATTTTATTTATTGCAGTTACTTTGAAGGAACGTATGTATATGTGAACTATCTCTAAATATTAGTTAAACGAAAAACTTTTTGGACATAAATAGTAAAGAAGAATTGGGGCATTAGCATTGAGTTGATTCATGGCAGTTTTTCAAAGCTATTTGAAATACTGCTTTCCTATTGTTCCACCAGTATTTCAGTATTGGAGAAACTACTTTTGATCTTTTGGGCTTTAAGGTTTTCCCAACTGTAAAAGAAATACTAGGTAGGTGGTGCAGCACTGCTTTAAACAACATGTTGTAAATTTTTCACTAAGTTTGCAAAAATTCTCATTTCAACTGTCATTCATAGATTTGGAATGAGTCTTCAATAATTAATTGATATGTAGGCTGATGACCTGTTTCTGTGCTATAGATACTTGAGGTAGATGTCAGAAGTTAGCATTGGGCTAATAGGAGGGAATGCTTCATTAGGAATACAGTGCGTAAGCTTGATATACAATTTTATCATGACTTAGAAAGTTAAATATATGTTTGTGTTTTTCCCTCCTATGGATCTGTCTACAGGCAAACGTCCTGCAGAAGATATGGAAGAAGAACAGGCCTTCAAAAGATCTCGGAATACAGATGAGATGGTTGAATTACGCATCTTGCTTCAAAGCAAAGTATGCTTTTTCAGTATCGCTATGTTGCTGCTTATACCATTGCTTAAGACAGCGGTGACAAAGTGTATGTTGTGGTGTATGTTTAGAAAGAACGTGTGCTTTATTTAAAATAAAATAACTTATTAGGAATATTTGTAAGTGTGCATGAATGATAGTAGAAGTGTATTCCAATGGTATTATCTTTGATAAATTTTTTCAAGGATGAATCTTTAATGATCTATGGGACTTCTCTGATTTAAAAAGAATGTACTCATTGAAAAAATAAAACAATAGAAATGATAAGCCACTTTTCTTATGTTTAAATGGAACATAATTTTTTCCAGGGGAATGACTGTGCATTAGTCTTTAGAGAGCAAGCAGTTAGAAGAATCAGCTTACTATTGTAAATTAAATATGAGAGGCAAGATGAGGATTTCCTCAGGATTTTAGTCATTTTCCCAGATATAGTAAATCGGTATATATCAACTTGAGGAAATGTGGGAGTAATGTTTCAGGGATTGTAATTGCTCCATTGACCAGTATAAATTGTTTCCAGTCGTTACAGGTGTTTGCGCTGTCTGAAGTAACTCAGACTTTTGTGTCAGGGCAGGGGAATGTTACATTAACTCTGCGTGGCATTTCTGATGAATAGTGAAGATATGGGGAGTGATGCAAAATGTTTGTGGTGCTGTTAGCATCGTGTGTCAACTGCATAATAAAAGCAATAATTTTGCACGTAGTTATTGTAATAGCCTGATAAAAATGTAGTTTTACAATTGCCCCTCTTGAATATCTGAGTTTATTCCTGTTGATTTTAGCAACTGGAGATTAGCAGTTGTTTATATTGGCTTTGCCTTCTTCAGACTTCTTCCTTGCTATATTAATTAGGGAAGCTGAGAATCCTGTTGGACAAACTGGTCATGAACAAATTGTTCCAAGGCCTGTAGATGAATTAGGATGAACTCTAGGCCCTTCAAATGAAGATCTTTTAGCCAGTCTTGATGAAAATAATGAATTTGCTTTAAATAATGTAAAGCCTTCAGAAAGCAGATACTGCAGCAGAAGTGACAATTTTAGTACAGCCTCAGGTTTGCTCACTACACATGATGAAAATGTTTTGTAACAAGAATTTGGAAATCCTTTGCCTCATTCAGATGAACAAATTTAATCTCCTGTAGAATGTTGGCGGCTTTTAAAATTACTTTCCTTTGGAAGATGACTTTCTTCTGGAAGAATAGATCCAAAGAGAGCTGGAAGAAGTGCTGTCAGTGGTCATGAAGACAAACATAGATTTGATTACTGAGAGGCTTCTACATACATCTAGAAGCTCATGTGATTCATCTTTAAATGGCACTTATGAAAAAGATTATATAAATGAGAGAAACCTGTAAAAGCTACTGTTATGGTTTGAGAAACCCATAACAATTTGTTGTTGTTTAGACAATCATTCTATCACCTGATGACCCCTCCCCACCTGGGAAAGGGAATCGGGAAAACACAAGGAAACCCGGGAGCTGAAGTATAAACAGATTTAATAGAGTAAGATAAGATAATTAACATTAATAGATCTAAAGAACCAATATTGATCCCGATACCAATACAGAATATGCAAATATTATACTCAGCCAATTATATCAGTAGGAAGCTATGCACTCTCAGCAGTGGACAGTAAATGTCAGACACTGCAAGTGCTACAGCTTTGGGAGGAAAGGCAGGCTTCGGGAGTCTGGCGCTGAATCACAGAATTTTCAGAGTTGGAAGGGACCTCTAGAGATCATCTAGTCCAACTCCCCTGCTAAAGCAGGATTGCCTAGAGCACATTACTCAGGACTGTATCCAGGCGGGTTTTGAAAATCTCCAGAGAAGGAGACTCCACAACCTCCCTGGGCAGCCTGTTCCAGTGCTCTGTCGCCCTAACTGTAAAGAAGTTTTTCCGTGTGTTGGAACGAGGCACAAAGTTCTCAGGATTGCAGCCATCAAGGGAGAGAGAGAACTTTGCAGCAAACTTTCTAATTTATAGTGAATGTGACGTTGATGGTATGAAATAATCCTGTTGGCCAGCTTGGGTCAAGTGCCTGGGTCTCTCTCCTCCTCATTCCTGCACCTGGCAAGCTCAAAATTGCTGAGACCTTGAAACCCACACACCATAGCTGGCTACAAAGTAAATATTTTCACTAATTCAGACACTAGAGTCTTCTAAAAGTGCAGTCTTCCCAGGCGTTAGAAGAGAAATTAGTCCTGTGTCGCTCAAACCAGGACAGGTATTCTTTTCAATCATACTCTAACTATGAGATAGTTTCTAGACAATTCTACCTGTGTTAAAACTTAAATTTGAAATTGAAATAATATTATTGAGTATTTTTAGCTGTTTCCAAAGTTCAGTGGTAAGACCTGTTTTGACCTTTTTTTTTCCCCCATGGTAAAACCATGTCAGTTTATGTTTCAATTTAATTTGAGCCTTCCAAAAGCAAAACAAGCCCCACCCCACCCCTAAATGCATCCCACAAGATAATGCAGAAATAGATATATTGTTCTTAATCTTCAGTTCAAAATTGTAGTCTGTGCTGTATTAGCATAACATGACTTCTGAAAACTGTTTTCCAGAATGCTGGAGCAGTGATTGGAAAAGGTGGCAAAAATATTAAGGCACTTCGTACAGATGTGAGTATATATGAGTTTGGATTAATTTAACACTAATTCTTTCAGAACTGCATTGAAAACTTGATTGCATACATTTCTAAAAATTGAGAAATTCAAATCTAGACAACAATCTAATTATAAGCCATTTTTAATGATTGTTAGGGGAGATAACTTTAGGTTTTCAGTTTGTGTTGTAATTAAAACCCAGCTTGAGTTATGTGGGAAAAGTTTATATTAAACCTCTCTGCTTTCAAATAGGGTTTCTCTAAATCGCACACTTCAAATGAGTTAACATCTTTAATTAGAAATATTGGCAAAGCTTAAAGCCCTTAACTGTACCATTTCCCATATGTGTGAATCAATTATAGTACTATTGAAAACTACTGCAGGTGGCTGGCTTAACCCAGTGATAGAGCAATTCTTTAACTTCCTTTAAAAAAACCCCATAAAGGTCCATCTGCTCTTACTTTAACAGCTTGGACATAAAGCACAAAAACATTCATGTTAAGGTTCCATGGTTTAAATACAGGTATAGAACAGTAAAGAAACATTTTATCCTGTTACTTGGAAGCATTTTTAAATGGTCATGACTTATTTACCTATTCATATTTTATAGTGGGTTGACTCTTGTGATTAGACACATGTTCAGTGTAAATGTTATTTATTTATAAAACTTGGCATTGCTGCTTAAATTCCAGTTGTTTACACTCCTGTACTTAGCATCAGCTACAATTGCAGCAATTTTTTCAAGCAAGACTGTGTTCAACACATTTGCTAATATATCATTACAAAATCAGTTCCATCTAAGTTCATAAACTGTAGCAACTAGAATTCAGGATTAAACTGAAATGGTTAGGAATCATACATATACTTGCTAACTTTGGCAACTTGTTTGTTTGTTTTAAGTAAATAAATACATCACCTAAGTCCAGATAATTTTAATTGATCTGGAATACTAATTTTCCCAGCTTGCCCAAGGTTTCAGTAATATGGATCTCAACAGTTTTTGTGTCTACGTTCATGAGCCAGCCTGCTACTGAAACATCATTATGTTAAAAGTAAAAAGTAGTTTAGTCAGATAAAGTAACTCATTAAGATCCATACTATTAAGCCACAGTCGATGTAGCGATCCATTATTGTGTTAGTCTTCAGAAGAACTTAAGCTTGCTTCATTAACTGAGAGTAATGAGTATAGTTTGTATTAAATTAAAATTTATTGCTTTTCCCCCTTTTCCCTCTCCTTGTTTTTTTGGCCATATATCTCCGTTACCCATGTACTGGATCGACTTGCCCCTGCGTTGCCCACCATGACGTTGGCCCATCCGCCCCTGAACGCCCATGTGAAAACCCTGGTTGGCTATGCCCAAAAATGTTCTCGTTGCCAAACGGGTACCATACTTGACAACTTCCGATTGAATACCCATGCCCAATGCCAACATCCACGAACGCCAATGACCAATGCAGTACAATGCCAGTGTTTCAGTCCCAGACAGCAGTGGCCCCGAGCGGTATGTCCCAACAGTTTATGCCTCACTGCCTGATTAGAAAGAGAGAAATGTATTTTATTACCTGCCTTTGATATAATTAAATAGTATCCCCTTATAGACGGTGTATTGTTTTTTTTTCAAGTTTTCTGTCTTATTTTCCCCATTAAGTCTTTTTGTCACTGAACTTTTACGTGAGTTGCCCACCCAAACGATCCACTAATTTTATTTCAATGGAAGGAGCACAGCTTCAAGTGTTGCATATTCACTGCATTCTAAATGAAATTGTTTCAGGAGTCTCTTCCTCTGTCTTTGTGGCCCACCCTGCTCCCCCCAACATTGTCTGTTCATAATTATTTCTGATGAAATACTAACTCTAGTTCACTTTCTGTCACTTCTCATTTGTGTTACCTTTTTTGTTTGTTTGGGGGAGTTGGTGTTTTGGGTTTTTTTTGTTTGGGTTTTTTCCCCTTGTATTTATATTCCTTTTTTTCAGAACCCGTTAGTAATCTAATTCTAACTGGTCTCAACCTTACTCCAGATATAATGTTGACCACTTGCATATCCCCACTCTTTCTTCAAGAAGATGTGCCAGTTTTACCAATGTAATGGCAAGGGTGGCAGGGAACGTGAATATTCACTTCTACTTTCAGTTCTGCGTCAATTTCTTGCCCACTTAATCTAAGCCCTTCTAAAATCTCTCACTTGCTCGCTCTCTCTGCAAGACCAGCCTAGTCTTAAGTTCAACATGCATATATATTGGGCATAAACAAAGACGCATGTGTTGTAAATCCAGAGAGCAGGTTTACTTTAAATGGGGAATATTAGTTGTAAGTTCTTCTGTGTAGTCAATCTTGTTAGAATTTTGTGTATGATTGTGAATACTAAATTTACTTCTACTACTTTTCTACCTTCTCCATGTTTTCTGACACTGTGGCCTCTAACAGCATCTTGAGTATAAGTGCAGATACAGAGACAATTGGAGAAATCTTGAAGAAGATTATCCCTACTTTAGAAGAGGTATGTCTCTAAGGTTTGTTTCTTTTTCAGAGGTATAAATTTAGATTTTAAAACAAGATAATTCTTGATGATTGTGTGCTATTTTTAATATGTTAAATTAGAAAATAAAAGCCAGCTTTTTTTAAAAGGCCTATAGTTCTCAAACTACACGTTGGCTTTTTTTTTTGGTAGAGGACAGAGATCATCTCTTCTTTAAAAATTAATATTTGGAACAGCTTCCTCCCCTTCAAAACACCTGTCTCCTGACTTGTTTAGTCCCCAATTTGAAGTAGCTGTATTGTAATTTCTATCCTGCCTTGGATTTGTAAGCAAGTGTGTTGTGCTGTTTGATATCTTAAAATTTTATACAATAATAATAAAAGAAATAAGGAAAACTAATTTGACATCACCTCATGTTGAAGCAAAGTACCTAAATAGGTGTGATTCTATCGTAGCAAATACAGCATTACAGTTCAGCAGCAAATTAAGTCATAATATATTGTTTGGAGAAAAACCTTAAGAAAACCCCCAAAATTAGTATTTTGATTTTTTCAATTATTTTTTCCCTGACTAATACTTTATTCTTTCCTTGTATGCATCTTACTTACAGTATCAACACTACAAAGGTAGCGACTTTGACTGTGAATTAAGACTTCTAATTCACCAAAGTCTAGCAGGAGGAATTATTGGTGTCAAGGGTGCTAAAATCAAAGAACTCAGAGAGGTACTGTTTCCTATTCTTTTCAGATTATGCTTTTATTCTATAAATAAATTATTTTTTGTGTGTTCATAAACAGTGAGTGTAAGCATAACTCCTTCAGAACATATTTCACGCGTGACTTCTGTGTTCTGAGATCAACCCGAGTTACTTATTACAACTTTCTTGCAAAAAATCAGAAATAAAGTGGCTGTTGGTGATAGAGCCTATAAATTCTTATAAAGCTTTTAAGTATATTAGCAGTAGAGTAACCTTTATAAATAAAGGATACTTTTTAAAATTAAAATACCATTCATCACTCCTGGAATGAACTGCTGAATAGACTATATTGGTGGTGTTGGACATGGAAAATGGTTTAGTGTGGTCGCATCTCCATAAACTCTAACGATGATAATCTAATAAATATTTGAATATTTTTATAAAAAGGTGGTAAGGGGTGGGGTTTTGGGTGGGTTGTTTCTGGGTGGATTTGGGTCTTTTTGTTGTGAGTTTTGTTTTTTGTTGGGGTGGTTAGTGGTTGGGGGGTTTTGTTTGGTTTTGGGTGGGTTGGGTTTTTTTTTTTTTAATTTCTGCTTCCTTGAAGTCCACAGTTTCCTTTGTGAAGGAATGAGTTTTTGTTCTAAAAAGCTAGTGGTCTCTATGGATCTAGAGTGGTGTTTTCTATCCTTTCCTGGCATTGTGTCAAAGACAATTCCAGGTCAGTTTAGGCATAAGCTACTATTTGTAGTATTTGCCTGAAGAAGGCAAGATGACTAGACGTAATCCTGGCAACATTGCTGTCTTGCATCCAAAGCATGTTTTTATGACATAAGAAGGTTTATATAACCTGTAAGATTATAATGGATATGCGATCCTTTTGCTAATATTTGATTAAATGACTGTGTAGATGAGCCATAATTGAAAGATTTTAAAAATGGAACTTTTTTCCTCTTCGCTCGCATTGCATACGAACTGATGTCATTGCAGATATTGTTGCTTATATCTTATTTTTATTTGTTATTTTTATGTTATGTTTTTGTTGTTATTTGTTATTTTTATGTTATATATCTTATTTTTTATATCTTATTGTTGTAAGAACTCAGAAGCAAGCATTCACTTAAAAAGACTGGAAGTTTAATGATCTGGTTTGATTGTTTCTTTAATAATGGTTTAGTGTGTGTCTTACTCATTTTGTTTTCAATAAGTTTATAAAATTGTTTAAAATACTTCTATTTGAAGATTTTGGGGTTTTTTTTCTTCTCTTAAACAGAACACTCAGACCACTATTAAGCTCTTCCAAGAGTGTTGTCCTCATTCCACTGACAGAGTGGTGCTTATTGGTGGAAAACCTGATAGAGTTGTGGAATGTATCAAGATTATCTTGGATCTTATCTCTGAGGTAATGTGTCTTAAACTTATTATTCTTTCATTGATATTCATGAAAGTCGGGATGATTTGGATGGAAAATTATGTTTCCATTTCTGTTTTGAATTCAGTGCCTCTTCTTTCTCCAGTAACAAAATAAGTGTTGGACTGTTAGCATCCTTTGAAATTTTCCCTGTTTTCTAGAATCGGGGTGTACCTTATTGGAGAGGGAATCTGGTTTTGCTACCAATGGACTGTTAGTCATGCTTTATATATCAGTAAAATAAGAAATTATAAATTAGGGAGGAAGTGAGACAAATGTACATGCCACCCATCAGGAACAGCAGGTTCTCTATCATAGTTAAGTTCTCAGGATGTATATCACCATCCCTGCCTTTCTTAACAGCATTGTGAAATCAAGAACGTATTCAGAATGTATAAATTCATATTTACACATTTAATATAATAATTTAATGAAATATAATAATTGTAACAGTCAGTGCTAACCAGGGGGGAGGGGTGATGGTGTTTTTGTGTTTTTTTGTTTTTTTTTTTTGTGTGTGTCTTAGTCTCCAATTAAAGGACGGGCCCAGCCTTATGATCCCAATTTCTATGATGAAACATATGACTATGGTGGCTTCACAATGATGTTTGATGATAGAAGGGGACGTCCAGTAGGCTTTCCAATGCGTGGAAGGGGAGGCTTTGATCGAATGCCTCCTGGTCGTGGTGGACGACCTATGCCTCCATCAAGAAGAGATTATGATGATATGAGCCCTCGCAGAGGACCTCCACCGCCTCTGCCAGGTCGTGGTGGCAGAGGTGGCAGCAGAGCTCGTAATCTTCCTCTTCCTCCTCCACCACCTCCTCGTGGCGGGTAAGCTGTTGTATAAGTGCATTGTACAAAACTCGAGTAAAATTTGCTGAATTGTGCTCGTTTCCAGGATTTGTTTCACACTCCATGTTGGTAGTGATTACGCAGGATTGAGTGTGCATTGCACCAGAGAATTTAAAGAAGTATTTGAATTTAACTATTTCTGCAATGTAGCAGTCTATCAGGACTATAGTCAGTAGTTCTGTAACTTTATTTTATGTCATTCAGAACTTGGCTAAAGCATTCAGAAATTCATAGTTGTGTGTAAGTCTTGAAAACTTGAATTAAACTATATAAACTAGTTTATAACATGAGTCGTGCTGCTGCTTTTTCTCATTTTAGAGATCTTATGTCTTATGACCGAAGGGGTAGACCTGGAGACCGTTATGATGGAATGGTAGGAGTTAAAATTCATATTGTTTTGTTTGGTAAATACAGATAGCACTTTGAATATCTGAGGAAACTGTTCTTGTATACATACACTTAAGTGTGGGGCATGTGTGCTTCTGATAAACTTTGATATCACCAAAATGTTTTGGCCATACAAATGGTCCCCCCAAGAAGACGACTGTTTGGGGTGTAAAGGGATCTGCTGTGTGGTTTTGGTTTGTGGGTTTTTTTGTTTGGTTGGTTTTCCCTACCTGCTATCAACAATGGAATAGAAAGTTGGTAGAGCCACAGTCCCTTCAGGTTTTATTACACGGACCTTCTTTTAGACTTTTTCTTTTTTATCAGGATGACAGAAATAGGAATTAGGAGGCTGTTCAAATCAGAACGATGTTTTCCAACAGATGTTAGCAGAATTTAAGAGAACATGAATGATGTCTATAAAGAGCTCTAGTTGGTTTGGCAGATGATTGCTTTTTCAAATCAGTTCTTGTCTTAATGCTGATTTCTATGTCTGCAAAAGAAATCTACTGTAATTCTAAATGTTTTGCAGCCAGGGCCACTGATAAGTTGAATTTCATTCAACCATGTGTGGGGGGAGAATTAAAAAAGGTTTAAAGATACTCTTCCATGTTGTACTCTGAAATGTGACTTTGTGGTAGTCATTTACTATTGTATCCTCTTTCCTGGGAAGATTGTGGTTAACAATCTTTTTTTTTTCTCCTCTGGTTCTGTTTTTTGGTGTTTTGTTTTTTTTTTTTAATTTTTTCTTTTAACTGAATGGAAGAGAAGGAAGTGGAGAGGAGCTATGAAATGGCCTACCTAAGTGAGATTTACACATTGCCTCCTTCTGGGAGGAAGAGGCAATTACTTCCAGTAATACATACTGGAAGTAAATATTCTAAGAATGTCAAAATTAGGGCACCTATTGAAAGGAAAGACTTGCACTTAAAATTACCAAAAAACCAACACCAAAACCACCAAGTTGTCTATGCTACTCTGGATCTTAAGAAACTAGAAGAATCATGAACTGTACCTCTAAGATCCCTTATCCTTATGTTTTCAAAGCTCAGTTTTTGTGTTTTCATATTTGCAGCTGTTAAAACTGGTCTCAGGGCATATAAACAGAGTAGCCTGCCCTTCCTTGGGTATCTGGTTGAGCGCAATCTTCAGCTTGGGCAATAGTGTTCTGTTCTATTCCATTTAGAATAGAAAATCTATTTGAACTCTTATTTATTCTGACTGATCAGGTTGACCTTGGCTTTCTTGACATGAGTTTCTACAAATAAGTGGGAGTCATCTCTGATCATTTTTCATGTTCTGAAAAGCAATTTTATTTCCTCTTCACAGTGGAGCTGCTCATGGCTTTGGCTGCTTTATGCACAGGTTTCATAGACTGCCTACAATGAGGACTGCTTTCTGACACAGATTGTATTTAATTTCTAGTTTTAGCTAGCCATAATCCCAATATCCTTAACTGTATAAGCAGATGAGAGAAATCTTTCGATGGCTTGTGAGGCTGAAGCTGGAAGTGTCATGCCAGAAATGTAAGGTCGTCTTGAGCTACTATGCATTTCATATAGAAACCATTCTCTAGCAAAACATTTAAAATTAGAGTAAGCCAACATCATTGTGGTTTGTGAAGTAGTGTGTGGGAAAGGCTAGTTTCAGAGAGCAGCAATGCCATTTTACATAAATACATTAAAAGGCAAGAATAGATTCTCTTTTCAGACCAACATCTTCGAGATGTTGAACCTACAGTAATCCTCATTTTCTGCCAGTTCTTTTCTCCGCTAAAGGAGGAAAAATTCTGTAGTTCAAGACTTGTAAGATGGTGAACCAAGACTGGATGGTGAAACTTGAATTTTCTGAGATGTGGCAATACTGACAGCCTTGTAAATTCTAAAATAGGAGGAAAAAAACAATTTGAATTTTTTTTATAAGACATACATGCATTGTTTCTCTTATTAGAGGTATATATTTTAGGCTGTAACTACTCCAAAACAAATGCCTGTGGACCATAATGGCTATTTTGATAGCTGAGAAAACATGAATGCGTTTCCACTATTTCCTTTTTAACACCTCCATCTCCATGGGTGCTTTAGATATACAAATGCACAAAAACATACCGGGGCAGGGGGATAAGCTGGAGAAAGGTATATAAAACCATTTAACCCCCCCCCCCCCCTTTTTTAATGGTCAATTCCTAATGCTTTCAAAGTGTTCTTAAATTGGAGTTAAATGAGAACTAAATCACTATGTTTGTTTAAAAGTAGAGCGTATATTCAGACATCTAATCTGCTTTTGCTCATTCAATTGATTCCTACTTCTTGATATTTTTTAACATGATATATGTGTATGTGTATATACACGTTTCTGTATAAGCACTTCAATAAAGGTACATACACTAAAAATATTAGAAGTACTTCATGTTTAAGAGATTTGACATTAAATAGCATGTAAAAAAATCAGTGAAGGGAAGATGTTTGAAGATGTTTGACACATTTATCTATATAAATATTAAAAGAAATTAATAAAATTCCCCTCTTCTGGGCCAGTCCCTTAAAAATAAGGGAAAGTTACAATAAGGAATTTTCCATCAGTTAGGATTGCATGAATATTCTTTCATTAGATGTAAAAGTCAATAAATTCTTATTAATAGTATGCGCTTTGTCTTATCCAGTCAGTGATTTATTTGGTTTTGATTTCATTTCCATTGGTTACCAGTAGTAGCTGGCACAAGTGAGTCTGTAGAGAAGAAAATTCTGTTATGTATCTTAAGTTATCCTGCACCTAGTATTTTAGGAACTGTTTTTAAATGAACATTTATATTTTAATGTGCTATCAATGTTGTGTTGTTAAAGGAGAAGCTGCTGCCCAAGCATTCACACACCGTTTAAGGAGTTGCACACACCACCCAAGTCTTTAACTGCTAGGACCAGGGTCCCTTCACAGTAGGCAAACCCAGCGGGCCGACGGGTGCCCCTTTCGACTCCTCACACACACACTTACTCTCGGGCACACTCCCTCCTTCTTCAGGCTCTTAACCCTAGGTTTCCTGCAGCAGAGTCTCAGGCATCAGATTTTATAAAAATAAGTAATTTAATTGAAAGGTACAACAGCAAGGTCAGCCTGGGCTGGGTGCCTCTGAAAAGGGGAGGGACCTCGAACAAAGAAACCCCTGGGCAATTATACCCTTGTGATCTATACACCCGCCCCTCACACGCTCTTCACGTGCTGTCCATGCATCTTTTAATCCAATGGTGATTTTTGGTCTGGGGCCTTCTAACACCTTATTGGATTCTTTTTCTGTGTCCAGGCAGGCAGGCTGTTGACTGCTCTTATCTTGTTGATTTTCAATCTCTGCTGACGGTTGCAGCCTCCTTATCTGCTGGTTTACGCTTCTTGTGCACCTATGCTTGCTGGCAGAACATGGGGAACTGAAAAGTCCCAGACTTGGGGAAAAACACTACCAAAACATCAGTGTGTTATCAACATCTTTCCCATACTAAAAGACTAAACACAGCACTGTACGAGCTTCTAGGAAAATTACTAAGAAAATTAACTCAGTCATGGCCTAAAGGCTTCAGCAAATCTAGCTACTCATGCTAAGTAAAGCTAAGCAAACAGCTTAACACCATGTTATAACCCTAAGTAATTTGTTCTAATTAAAACTTACTTATTTAAGCTAAACAACTAAGTTCTCTCAATAGTGTAGTATGTTTTAACCCAGCAAAGGCCTCTGCCTTAATAGTAATTTAAAGTGGATTCTACAAGTTATATTTTTATAATTGTTTGTTGATTGTTATTTTTTCCCCAACGTTTGTTGTAGAATTCTGAAGCAAAGAAACGCTATATATTGCATTTAAAAAAAAAAATTAATAGTATTTCCAATATAATTAGGCAGTAGTAGATTTTTAGTTTAGCTATTGGCTATATGAAGTATATGGAAATGAATTAAAATATGAGAAGCCATGTCCTTCCTGTTTGACCTGTTGTTGACATAGATATATCAATGATAGTTACTTGTTGTATTCAATGCCTTTTCTAGATTTTTTTTATGCGTGAGAGAAATAGAAGGTTTTGGTATCTGAGTGTATCTTTTAGTATATAGTACAGTTCTAGTACTCAAAGGTGTTTAAAAAAAACAAACTGTTCCAGCTTTGCTCTCCCCTTAGCTGTCTGACATTCTTTGTAAGAGGAAAATCTGTTTACACCACAGAAACAAGGAAGAAAGGAATGTAACCAGTTACTGTTCCCTTGCAGTGAAAGTAAAAGGGAGTGAACCTTGTAACTGGTCTATATAATGTACTTTTGAGTCTTTGTAGTAATTTAAGTAGTGCAGAAAAATGTTTCTCTATGTTGGTATGTATGCGTTTGCTTGACAAGTTACCTATAAGCCTTCATGGCATGGGCTTAATTTGGATTTCCTCTTATCCTCCTATTATGTTGTGCCTGGAAGATGATGCAGTGTCATGTGGATGCTTGTGATGACATGCAGCCACCAGAGTTGGTGAGTGTGCTTATGCTTTTTATTTGACTGGTTTAATAGTTGATTTTTGAGAAAAATAATTTGAATTGGTTAAGTGATAACTAGAATTTCTTCAGATTGAATGTAGTCAGTGGCAGCTTGCACCTATTGAAAAATCCCTAAAGCTGTCCTTCTAACTCAGGTTATTGGCAGTTTATGTCCTGAACAGTGAATCCTATACAGGCAGTTAACGTTCTACAATGGAAGTATGCAGCAGCACAGCCAAGTGAGAGAAGCTTTTCTGTTGTATTGCCTCTTTTGTACCCTTTTTTAGTGTTCTAAGTTGTAACTTTCACTGTAACTCTTGCTTTTCAACACCCTGTAGGTGCATCTATTTAGGAATATATTTTATGTTAACTTCATCATGTTGTGTTTTCTCCTGTTTCAAACAAGGAATGTTAAAAATAATTCTTTACTTATAGTTGTGGATAAACTATTATGCATTACCTATCCATATATTTGCAAGGATTCCATTTGATTTGTGTTTGTCAAACTACTTACTCTTAGGGGGTTTAGGAAGGAAAATTCAAAGGGTGTCAGCAAGTGCTTATGCTGTCTAGAAGATGGCAAAATGCTGCCAAATATTAAATGTTAGTTCCTAGCTTACATAAAGAGCATCATGATTAAAGAGGAAGAGATCAGTGACCTGCTATGCCGCTTGGATGCACACAAGTCTATGGGACCGGATGGGCTTCACCCAAGAGTGCTGAAAGAGTTGGCAGACGTGCTCGCCAAACCGCTTTCCATCATTTACAGGAAGTCATGGCTAACTGGGGAGGTCCCAATGGACTGGAGGGTGGCAAATGTAACACCCATCTACAAGGAAGGCAAAAAGGAGGATCCAGGAAACTATAGACCTGTCAGTCTAACCTCGATACCAGGGAAGGTCATGGAGCAGGTCATCTTGAGTGCCATCAAAACACACATAATGGGCAACCAGGGGATCAGGCCTAGTCAGCATGGGTTTATGGAAGGCAGGTCCTGCCAGACGAACCTGATCTCCTTCTATGACAAGATAACCAGATTATTGGACGAGGGAAAGTCTGTTGATATTGTATACCTGGACTTTCGAAAAGCATTTGATACTGTCCCCCGTACAATTCTTGTGGAAAAACTGGCTTTACACGGCCTGGATGAGCATACAATCCACTGGATCAAGCACTGGCTGACTGGAAGGTCCCAAAGAGTGGTGCTCAGTGGATTTAAATCCAGCTGGTGGTCGGTCACAAATGGTGTGCCTCAGGGCTCAGTGTTGGGACCATTTCTGTTTAATGTCTTTATTGATGATCTCGATAAGGACATAGGTGCCCACTACTCCAATTTTGGTAGCAAAACATCAGCTAGACATTAACTCTATTTGTCTCAAGGCCCACCATTGCTTTCCTTCCTTTTCTTTTGTTCCTCGCCCCCCAGTTTCCAAGGAAACCGTGACCTAGCTGTAACCAATCCATCCACAACATGGAGTTTACTTTGCTCTAGCAATCTCCGACCACCTCAGCCAACTTCTAAAAAACTTGACAGACGGAATGGGCTCTGAAAGAGAGTGTATTTCTATACATTCTATGAAACTGTGAAGCTGAGTAAAGAAGAGTGCCCCAAATTATATCGAGCTGCTGGAGCGAGTACAGAGGAGGGCAATGAGGCTGCTGAAGGGCCTAGCAGAAGAGCTGTTGAAGGAGCTGGGACTGTTTAGTTTGAGGAGGAGGAGGCGGCTGAGGGGAGACCTCATCACTCTCTACAACTATTTGAAAGGATGCTGTAGAGAGGTGGGTGCTGGTCTCTTCTCACAGGTAACTAATGACAGAACGAGAGGGAAGGGCTTCAAGCGCCAACAGGGTAGATTGAGACTGAACATTAGGAAAGAATTTTTCACAGAAAGAGTGGTCGGGTATTGGAATAGGCTGCCCAGGGAGGTGGTGGAGTCACCATCCCTGGATGTGTTTAAGAGCCATTTAGATGTGGTGTTGGGGGATATGGCGTAGGGGAGAACGTTGTAGAGTAGGGTAGATGGTTGGACTCAATGATCCCAAGGGTCTCTTCCAACCTAGACAATTCTATGATTCTATGATAAATACTGCAGTTATAATTACTCATCTGCTATCAAATTAATTCGCTGTCTTGTAGCCTGGGCAGGAGAAGCAGCAGAATGGGTGAAGAAAAGGGCTGTTCACCAAAACAAGTTACCCGAAAAAGGGATTCCCCGTGCAAAATATCAGCAGAAATAGGTGCAAGAGTATGTGTGTGAAACATGCAGCTCTGATCAGCCTCTGAATGAAGGACACTGCTTAGAACTTAATTCTTTTGTATTTTGCACTCCACTACAAGCTCTATTATGTTGCATTATGGTCTGTATTACTAAGCACATGATTACGTAACAAAGGTTGCTTAGAAACAGATGATCAGCTGAATAATATTTTTTCTGAGTAGTTTCCATTTTGATGTGGCTCCAAAAATCTAGCAGGTAAATAGGTTTTTGGAAGAATTGTTGCATGACAACTTCTGCAAAGAAATAATTCCCACAAATTCCTGTATTTCTGTATTTCATTGATATAAGTTGAATTCTAGAGAAGCATGCACATCTGTTCTCTGCTCCTACAGGAAGATATTAAAATGGGTGTTTGTGCATTTAAAAGGCATTAGATCAAATTAAGCACTTGATATCAACTACCAGTATACAAATCCTGAAAATAAAAGCAGTCAGGAGTACTGCATTGCAGTGATTTGGAATATGGTAGTTTTAGCAGAACAGTAGTAATTAGTGTCATGATTGTCCCTTCTGTGATCCAAAGGATTGTAGCATAGTCTGAATGGAGAGACCAATTGTAAAGTTGTTATTAGAGTTGACTTGTTTTTTCCTTAAGATATAGATGGAGTGGTAGGAGGGTTGACAGTTACCAGGTAAACAACTTGTCCCAAACTGAGACTTTAATTTCTCCTGAGCTGTATAGTTAGTAGTAATAAGGCTGAACTATGATCTTTTGATTTGAATGTTACTTTAGTCCAAGGGTCAAGAGTAGATCAGCATCAAGAACTGTTTACCAGCTGAATTGGGTAAGGTTTCTTGGTAAACTGGTATGGCTGGATCTTGATGACTTTTTCTTAAAGGTTTTAGCAGAGCAAGCTATGAGGTTCTCATGAGATATTCCCTCCCCCCCTTTGTTCCTGGTCTGCTCTCTTCCCCAGTTTGCCTTTAATGACACTTAGATTAAGGTTGTGGGTTAGGATTTTTGCATAAAATAGGCTCAAAGTTAACAGTATGATACTTGAGATGAAAACATGTTAATTAATCACAATTATTTGCGATTTAAGGGTTTTCTTTCTCTTTTCTTATAGTTTGAGGGTGGCTCTGGATATGGTAAGTTTTTATAGAGAACTTTGACATGCACTTCATTTAGTCAGTAAGAGGCTTGATGCATACGTTTAAATCAGACTATTCTTACACAGGGGGCCGTGGTTCATATGGAGATCTTGGTGGACCCATCATCACAACACAAGTAACGATTCCCAAAGATGTAAGTGAGGCTGACTTGCTTTCCACTTGTTTAAATAAATAAATAGAAAGTCACAGCCTTTTCTCAGACTATGTAAGTAAATCAGAAGTATTTGGGATGCTTGACAAGTACTTTTAATATAAAACAAGTGTTTCTAAATCACCAAATGTTTATTCTTAAGGATGTTTGTTTTGTCTTCGCTTTAGAGATGCACTGAACTATTTTTTAATTATTAACATTCAGTAATAGATATGGTCTACATAACTTGTTTTTGCAAACAAGCATCTGGTTCTTATAAATTTACCCCACCTGTGTTTAGATAATAAAAGTTACAGAGGATGTTTTGAGACTGTAAGAGTAAGCTTCCATTGTAACTCTTAAAATTAAATTGATGGAAGCTACTTGAACAGTACCGTGTTTTTGCAGAGAAAGTTATATCAGTACTGTGTTTTCTAGAGGAAGTTATATAAGGAAATGAATGCTTTATTTTCTCCCCTAGTTGGCAGGATCTATTATTGGAAAGGGAGGCCAGAGAATCAAACAAATACGTCATGAGTCAGGAGCTTCAATCAAAATTGATGAACCACTAGAAGGCTCAGAAGATCGAATAATAACAATTACAGGAACACAGGACCAGATACAAAATGCTCAGTATTTACTGCAGAACAGGCAAGTTGAAGCTTAATGCTGTCCTTAGTGTCAATTTTAAACTGACTTTCCTACCACTACATTCTAAAGCTCTTCTCTGCAATACAGTTTTTAGAAGGCAGGATTTAAGTAACTATTGAACCTAACTTCTCCAGTGGTAGTTCTGCCTTGATTCTTTTCTCTGTTCTAACTAAAATGAAGATTCCTTCAAAACTATTCTTGATGGAAGACACCTTAACCAAGCAGTCCTCTGGTGAAAATTGCTGCAAAAAACCTACTTGTACTAAATTACATAGAACCTGTAGAAAATATAGAAGATTTCAGTGGATGTTGGTCTAGTTCTGTGTGGAAGACTAGTGATTTTGTTGTTTTTAGATAACTTAACTGACAACAAATCACAGTCTGCCATGTGGCACAGACCATGCCTCTACATACAGGACAAGTTGAAATCAATTGGTGCTTTGTGCAGCGTTTCACACCTTGCTGGCATTATTTTCTGTTCTGCCAAATATTAAGAGTTTCGGACTTAGTTTGCTTAGTTTTGCTTTAATAAGACGTTGGTTATAGCATTTGTTAATGTTTAACTTGAATGTGTGGCTTTAGATTACTAATATTTAAATGCACTTAAAATAATTCTATGCCTATAATTATTAACCATTAATCTTTAAAAAGTATTTACTTTTAAATGTATTGGGAATTTGTAGTTCAATCTTTAAGAATGCCATTGTGAATATTGATGCAAGATAAAATGTATGGTCAATCATTCTAATACATGCTTTTTTCTTTTTCTTTTATAGTGTGAAGCAGTATGCAGATGTTGAAGGATTCTAATGCAAGATTATTTTTTCTTTTTTATAGTGTGAAGCAGTATTCTGGAAAGTTTTTCTAAGACTAGTGAAGAACTGAAGGAGTCCTGCACCTTTTTTTTTTCTTTTTTTTTTTTTTTTTAATATCTGCTTCTGTTTAAAAAGCCAACATTCCTCTGCTTCATAGGTGTGAAGCACCTATGCATGAAATGCATCAATGACAGTCGCTGTTAAGCTTGTTGTTCTTCTTTGATATAGATGGAGTTACGTGTTTTTGGCAAATTAAAGAAACGGTGTGAAAACAGTGGTTATTTGGGGGGGAAAAAAAAGTACAAAAATATTAATGCAAACGTGTGAAATTTTACTTTTTTTGCAAGTTTTTGGCCCTCTTTGCAGTACATATATATATTGGTGACAGTATATAAATAAAATATTTGGAAAGTTTGTGATGCCACTGAGTTAACAGTGGGTTAAATACACCTGGTTCTAGACAGCTTGCTTAATGCAAATAACGTTTAAAATAGCAGTTGGTGTATCATTTAATGAATGAATTGTAGTTTTCAGAGCTTTCATTTGTATCGGGTAGAAACTTTTATGAATTGACAAATTGGCAGTTTCTAACTTGATTTTCATTGTATACAGAACTTAAACTTGTTTGGTTTCCCTGCTGTTTGTTGAATTCCATAAGAAATATTTGTGAGAAATTAAAAAAGATAAAGTACCTCTGAATATTTCATGTAATACCTTGGCATTTGTATTTATAGTTTACAAGTTTTAATTTCACTTCCTAAATAAAAACAATTTTTAAAATGCAGAAGAGCTTTGTAAATCTGAATGTGATTGATCTAGATTAAGTGGATTCTTTCACTTTGGCAGAGGGGGGGTGTATAGAACATTTTACTTTTCTCATCTTATTGAACCATATGGGGTAATTCCTGTCATAATAAGGAGCTACACTTACCTCCTTGCCCTTTCCCATTACATTGTAAGAGGTGACCTCCTTAGCAGAGCTATAATCAATCCTTAGAAAACAGACAAAACCCGGTTTTGTCTAGGGCAACGAGTATGGCAGTTTTCACCGTGAATAAACATGTGTAGAATTGGTACTTCCTTGGGAAAGGCTGAACATACGTTATATGGAGAAATTGGCGACCTAGAAAAAGGTATCAGACAAAATGCAAATGAATTAAGAGAAAAACATGGGGTGCAGGTTTTTTTTTCCTGTGCACTTCTACATTGTGTATGTGCAGGTGGTTTGTGGGTTTGTGTTTTTAAAATATTTTAGGGAGGAGGAAAACTGCATAGTGTCAATATACTAGAGAATAATGTGTTTTGTTTTTTCTTTTTAATGATCTGCATTTTTAAAGAAGCTAATCTAGTCTTACAAGGAAGTTGAGCACTGCTCTATCTTTAGTAGGGTTTTCTTTAAGGTTTCCTTAAAACCAACCA